CGGGCATCTGATGAGGATGCCTCCTGGGCGCCTTCCTGTAGAGGTTTTCCGGGCACGTCCAAGTGGTAGGAGACCCCGAAAAAGACCACAAAACACACTGGAGAGATTATATATCTCATTTGGCTTGGATCCCTCTCAAGAGGAGATAGAAGACGTTGCTGGAGGTAGGGACATCTGGGCCACCTTGCTTGGCCTGCCCCAGATAATATGGAATATGGATGGATAAAATAATTAAACTTTTTAAACTAGATTTGACGCTGGGTCAAACTAAGACTTTCAGTTTTTCTTTAAAATGAGGTCATAATGAGGAGCCACCTTAGTTGATACTGTACTTGATGCACATCCCTTAACAATTTTGCACTTTTGCGAATTGCCAAAACCAACTGACATGGAGTGAATATGGGGCTTATTGTGGTCTGGAGGGCAGTTGCCAACCTTGTATATAGCAACACTGCTACAACAAAGTCAGACTGGGCCAGTCTGATTGGCTGAATGCTCAGTCTGGGATAGTTTACTGCAAACTTCAAGCAAAATTAAATTCTCTATGGTATGAATCGCTCTTCATGTAGCCACCTTAAAAGCAACAGAATTCGAACTGAACACAAACGGGAGCACCTGCTGTCTCTAAGACCCCAGTCAAGAATTGGAGGCTTGTGCAAAGTAAATGTGACCAGGAATTCCAGAACAACAACTTGGATTTAAACAAAGAAATGAGGATAAAGAGGAGGTGTCAGATTAAGGCTCTGAAGAGGGTTTGGGTAAAAGGTTAAGTATGATATCACCTTCATACAAAGCAGTCCATTATGTTTTAAGGAACCGGGCTTTAAGGGAAAACAAGCCCATGACAGCTAACAAGGATGAACTCATTACATAATCTGTGGGTGGTGCACTGTGTATTTTTGAGATATTTAGATAATAAATAGGCGTTGCAGTTTTGAATCCTTGAACCAGTTTGTACCCTTAACTATGAACTCTTATCTGTGTATTTTAGACTTTTTCTTTTTTTCTTAGAATTTGTCAAGATAACATAGCTAATTATTCCTGGAATATTAAAGTTACAAAACAAGATAACAGACAGTTACAGTAATGCATTTCTGATCAACCAGCAGTCATTCCATGAACAGATATTATCACATTCTCACTTTTTTTTAAAAATTGTAATACCGAGCTTAAAGAGTAGAATTACAATACAATATAAATACAAATCTGGAATGGATTGTAAAAACAGGTTTGAAAATCAACTTTGTATGGGTAATGCCAAACAGACATAATTTTATGATGGGTAGGAAGAACAGGAAATAAATCATAATTGACACTAGGAAAACGGGGTCTGAAATGAACTTTTTGGCTCATCTGAGAAACTTTACCAGCCCAAAACTTTTCTTTTGGCCATAAAACTTTTGACTAAAGATAATTACCTCAAGTTTTTAGCCTTTCCTTACTGAGCTTCATATTTTAGTCAGGATCTGGCTTAACACCAGGAATGTATCACCACATCTCTAATAACATGTAACACAGATTTTTCTTACTGCAAAAACACAAGACAGAGATATTGTAGAAAGCCCCAAATATTAGTAAGCTGCATTGATTTGACTCATTGACATCTGAATAGGTACGGTGGATAGTGAGGGTCACATTAGTCTCCGGCCACCTTGCTTGCAACCCCAAATGTTCTGGCATTTGGCGCTTAGTGGGCGGTAATTTTGGACCCTGCTAGATAATAATATGACAAAGTGTTCTGACATCCCTCCTTATTCTTGTATAGTTCTTACTGGATATATGAAATTACAGCCAGCCTTGCCTGTATGAAACCAGAGCTCCCAGTCCTGTCACTGGCACATTTTATAGGATGTAGATAGCTAATTAAGTTAACGTTAGCTCTGTGAGTTAGTTGAAAACACTGTTTTTGAGCTGACTTAATGTTTCCAGCTCACTCAAATTAAACAAGAATCCTGTAAAAGGAGTATTAAATGTACACATGGGAGCTACATACGTGATATAATGCTTAAAGACTAAGGCTACATGTCCCACAGAGGCACCGGCTGCTTAGCTTCTATACTTATTTGTTATACATTATGTTCACTTTTAAAGTTACATTGGAAAAAGGCTTTTGGGATGAGGACTAACCTGTGTGTTTGGCAAATGTAACAGTTCTCAGGTAACGTTGGCTGGAGTGGCTTTAGTGTAAACTTCCAAATCTAACAAAAAGCAGGAGAGAGCTGCTAATGTAGCTTAAACTCTGATAGCATCCAAGAACAAAACTTTTTTAAAACTGTAACCCCACATACTAATGTAGTCAGTTAATGATCAGCTCCTTGGCCTAGGTAGCAGACATGCTAACGATTTTAGCTTTCATTAGAGCAGACAGACACAGTGCTTAATCCATCCCTCACCTCTTGATCTTGTGTTTTGGTTTTGGAAAAGTTGAAAACAGAGTTCTACACTATGATTTGATAATTGCTGTTTGGGGAGAGGTTTAGTGAGTGGTCAGTTAACCTGGTGAGTTACCTTGTGCTGCAGCTGTAATAAATATGGAGTTATCCTAAAGGAAATACATTCATTTTGAACATTTGAATTTGCAACACTGATATGACATCTAGCATAGCATTAAAGCTACATTAGCAATTTTTTTTTATAAAAACAACTGTTTGTCATATTTTCTGAAACTTTCACTATATCCTGACAGTGAGACAGATAATCTGTGAAATAAAATCTACTACTACATAATACTACTGTCAGAATAGTGAAGTTTAACATAGCTGTAAATAAAAAAAGTATAAAATATGCTTGTATTAGTTCCTGATACCCATCTTGCAGATGAGCTCCTTCAGTAGATCGAGCCGGATGAGAACATCACTGACACAGATTAAATCTTGATGCTGATGAGAAAGATGACTTCCTCTTCCTGTGGTTGAACCCCTTTTCATTTTTCAAGATTTTCTTAAACACCCAATGTGGTCGTACATGGTGCTAACACTGCTTTGGTCTAATTCCCATGCATGCACTTAATACTGCAGAGGAGGTACTGTAGGTAGCTAGGCAGACAAATAAGCAGTGGTTTTTGCTTAAAGACTCTGTTTTATTAGGTCAGAGGTTTCTGCTTCAGCATGCTGAAGTCTTATTAATTCCCCATCTTCAGAAATACGTCAGGCACTACTTACTCCTCCTTACTTACATGTACTTTGTTCTGCTTTTTGGTTCCTTTTCAAATATTACATTTCAAAATATTTGTTACGAATCTCCACGACTGTGTGACTATCCTCTTGCACAGGATATCTGATATTGCACAAAGCACTAAGTTATTATTTCCGTTTGTGAGGTTTGTATCTTATCACGTCCTTCCTTTCGCATGCTGTTGTCCCAGTTAATGTGACACATCATCATATTTCTGCCTGTAAAATGTATTGATGTTCTATGAGTGATCATGAGTAAGTGCATTTCTGAGAAATAATGATTCATGCAGTAGTCAAAATAACCCTCAGAGCTGCTTGGGTTAAAGCCAGTTTAAAGTCTTGCTATACTCCCCATGCTCAGGGTTGAATTCCCTTCTCCTTTTATCAGGTCTGCACATGTCTGTAAATGAATCTTGACAGTTACATAGTTTGGTTTGTGTGTCGACTGTCTCAACAGGAGCAGGGCATGAAGGCACCCTCTGCCGTGTCAAAGCAGTGGGGCTCCTACTTTGTGGACGTACACAGGAGTGGAGGAGGGGACGAGGAAAGCCAGAAACTGACTTGGTGCTGCCACTGCATTCACAAATATAGCACCATGGCTATCCCTAGTGTGGAGCACATAGCAGGTATGTGGAAAGAGATGGAACACAGTGCAGTGTCAAAGCTGTACTCATAAAGCTGGGAGTGTGGCTGGCATAAACACATAAGTATAACAACAGATTCTATGTCTCTAAGTATAACAGAAGATTATTCACCAGTATCATTTTTTAAACAGACTGTTTTCAGTCACTAAATAATTTAAACTGTCAGTGAAATTCAATACTTCCTGCAAATGTTTCAAATTAAAAGTCTACCAGGAACGGCGGGGAGTACAGAGTCCGTCCCATTCTTTTTTTTGCATCTAAAAATGCCAAGAAAAAACAAAAGCCCCACATTTAGTATAGCTATACTCTAAGATTACATCTTTACATAGTAATCAAGTACACTGTTTAGCCAATATGCCTATGATAGTCCTTCATTAATCAGTTCAAAAATCTATATTCACTGAAATCCTACATATGTACCATTAATATAGTGATAACTTCCATTTATCCAAAAAACACACTTTATACATTAATATAATTCCTTCCAACTGTTAAATATAGTATATGAGTCTGGACCATCAACTTATAAAAGATGTCATGTCTACACTTCCTTCCACTGTACAAAAATAAAGCCAAAATCCCAGATACCGCCGCTACCATCTTTCCCTACTCTGAGCCAGAGTCTGCGCATTAGCGATGGTGTGCTGTGGTATTGAGGTCCCGCCGATAAGTCCTGCTGACTCAGTCGCGAGCAGGGCTCAGCTGTCAATCATTACATGAAACCCCCTTTTTATAGCTTCACATAACTAATTAAAACCAAACTCATCAAAAAAATGTAGTTTGACCCATGTCCCATCTGCTAACATGGAGGCATTGGGCACCGGGGCGATCCACACTTTTAAAGAGCTGTCATGTCTTTCGTCTTTATATACAGTGGGTACGGAAAGTATCTCACGACCCCTTTAATTCTTTCAACGTCTGGTTGGTTTACTTGCAGCCATTTGCTAAATCAAAAAGTTTATAATTTTCATTTCTCGATTAGTTTACACTCAGCAGCCCTCGCTTGAAGAAAAAAAACAGAATGTGAAATTTTTGCATTTATTAAAAAGGCTCAGTATTGAGTGAAAGCAGCCCTTTTGAGTAGTGATAGCACATGAGTCTTCTTGGAATTGATGCAAAAGTGTTTGTCAACCTGGGATTTGAGGATCCTCGTGCTTCTTCCTGCAGATCCTCTCCTTCGTGGTCAGGTTGGATTGGGTTGAATGTTGGGTCGGCAGCATTTTCAGGTCTGTCAGAGATGCTCAATTTTGGGTTTAGGTCAGGCTTGACTGGGCAGGTCAAGAATGGTAACAGAGTTGTTGCCAAGCATCCTTTATTATTTTGCTTGTGTGCTTAGCGTCATTGTTTTGTTGGAAGGTGAACCTTTCGGCCCAGGTCTGAGTCTCGAGCACTCTTGAAGAGGTTTTCTTCCAGGATTGTCTGTACTTTGGCGCATTGCTCTTTCCTTCAATTGAACAGTCGTCCTGTTTGCAGCTGAACACCCATAGCATGTGCTTGCCACACCTGTTTCACTGTTGGGATTGTATTGGGCAGGTTCCCGCCCCCCCCGTGATGACAGTGGCTGGTTCTGCCTCTCACACTACGCTAGCTTAACCGCAAAAGTTCATCTTGGTGTCAGACAGAGAATCGTTCTTCTCATTAGTTGGGATCCTATGTGTTTTTTTTGGGAAACTCTATGTGTGCCCTTTTCATATGTTCTTGCACTGAGAGAGGGCTTGCTGTCCGCTCTGCGCTACCAGCCCGACTGGTGAGGGTGCAAGCTGGATAGTTGACTTTGTGGATTTTTGGCCAGTCTGCCCTCACTGGCACTTCTGGAGCTCAGCCACAGTGATCTTGTGGGTTCCTTCCTTCTACCTCTCCCCCCC